AGCGGGAGATTTCAAGGGAAACCCCAGGACCTACAAGCAGTAAGTGCTGAGACTTGGAAGGTTTTCTCCAGTGAGAAGTCACTTTTCCAGGGAAGCCTGGGCAACCCTTCGCCCTAACTCTTTCAGATCTCAGTGTGACTCTTGAGAAATCAGAAAGACTTTTCTGTTGTTCTTCCTAAGCAAGAACCTTCCTTAAGGAATGGGAGAGGGCCAGGAGCTGCAAACTACCTCCCATGGGTGTGCCCTCTCATTTTTGTTTGCAGAGACCACAACCCGGGAGAGCAGCTCAGGTCCCCTGAAACTAGAGTTGGCCGGGCCGGTGCTCCCCTCAGGAAGTACACTTGTTTTCCCCCAAGGAGCCGGGACTCAACCACCTGTGACTCACCATGTCTGTGTTGCCTACACAGTCCACACACGTCAAGGTCTAAAATGGAATCTGTTCCCTGTTGCCCTCCCCCAGTGCTGGCCCCCACTGTCTCTGGGTCAGACACCTTGAGGGAATGTTTGCAGCCCCACCTTCACTGCTGACGCCAGGAGCCCATGGCTCCTCTCTCCCCTCCCCTCAGAGCACAGAGCATGGCCCAAGAATAGACTTTTCCATTTCCTACCCTCACTAGCATCATTTCTGCTCTCTCATAAGTAGCTCTCCCTGCACTTGTGGTGCTAGAGGACTCACTCAAACCTTAGAAGTTCAAATCTAAGTGGTCTACTCCTCACCAAGAGAGCTTCCCTTGCGTCTGGGTGTGGGGCTGTGGTTACAGAGAGAGAGCATTTCACTCAATGAGAATAACATCAGTATGAACTTCACCACTAAAGCCACACTCCCATATTTTGAATATATACTTTGCTGAGTGCTCCACATGGGTTATCATACTGATCCTCTCCAAGCCCTATTGTTGTCACCCCCATTTTGTATATGAGGAAAAGAGACCTAAAGTATTCAGTAACCTGTCCAAAACTACATAGTGATTCAGTGCTGGAGCTGGGATTTGAACCCAGGTCATTGTAACTTCGAAGTCAGTGTTTCTTGCTCTGTAAGCATCACCCCACCTCACTTGCCACTTTGCGCTCTATGTTAAGGCATCCAATGTCCTTCAGAACCCCTGTTCCAGAAGCTTCTCCCCATCTCCTGTCATCCACCAAATCTTGACTTGTTATGACTCTCCTTGCTGGTCCCAAGGGGATGGCAAAGAGGAAGTGGGGGCTTGCTTAAAGTGAGGTGCTCTCTGGGTTAAAAAACTAGCTCTGGAGGCCTTGAAGGGGAGGGATGAATGAGCATTTTATCAACACGAATGTCATTGGCAGCCCCAAAACAAACAGTGTCCCACCCGGCTTGCTCCTTTATGAGGCATTCAATCAATAAACTGAGAGCAGAGCTCTGTCAGATTTACTGGCTCGGTTCAAACTGAGCACCTCTTCTACCGGCCAAAGGCTGTGTCACCAGCTCGAACTTTCCGCTCCAACTCTGGACAGCCCCCATTTTCCCTGGTGGGGCTACAATGGCTCATTGTCTGAGCCAGGCCTTGTGAGAAGTTGTGTTTGTTTTGCCTCTTATCTTATCAGCTCCAGAGCTACAATGGCCCAGGTGTACTCACCATTTTACCATCAGGTGAGAGGAGATTGTGGCCTGGGTCCAGGCTGGCTGGGGAGACCTGCTGTAAAACTGACTGGCTGGTCACCAGGGCGCTATTGCCATGGTGACTGATTGTTGAGGAGGAAGTGACCTCACTGTTTCCCTGCTGGTTGTAGCGCACTCCTGCAAAACAACACAAACCCAACAAAGAACGTTAGTGTCACCAATGCCCTGGAACACTGACTCCACTCCCCTTGTTCTCAAGGGTGGTTGACAAGAAAACAAAGTTGCCTTCTCCCCAGTCTACCCCACAGGAAGTAGCTGCTGTCTTCTGTAAGATGAAAGTAGCTTGGCATGGCTTGAACTTTAATTCTCAATCACAAGCTCTATGAGGGCAGGACATTTTTAACTGCATGGTTTTGTTCGTTTTCGTGTCCCCAGTGCCTTGGCACGTGGAAGCCACTCATTAAACATCTGTTGAATGAATGAATGGCGACAGGATGGATTCTGCTCATGATCGCTTCAGCACAATTCTTTCAGGATTTAGGGCCTGAGATTGGCCTTCTCTTCCTGGCTGAAGTATATTTTTTATTCTTCAAATGCCTTCTAGAAATGCTTCCCTGGCATCTCTTGGCTATGCAGGCCTGCAAAATCTGAGTAGACTGGTTTTGTAAAGAGGCGTTTGTCCAGTGAGCCCTGTAAAAGCCATAGCATGTGCATTGGTCTCTGTATACTACCTTTATGGCTGAGCTCAAGAGGCCAGGAGACACAGGTAGAGCAGGACAGAGGATGAGGCTGCCACTATAGTCTTTGACTCTGGAACTCACATTCCTTTGATGGGGTCCCACTTGGCTGACTTCCAGGGCACAGGGAAAGACGTGTCTGCCAGAGGTAGGGCAGGCAGCACACGCAGGCGGGATGTGGATATTTAGTAAACCACTGCAGTTTGGTCGGCAAGGGAGGGGAGAACCACACATATTTACAGCCTCACTGCTCTGACCCTCCCTCTTGCTCGGGAACCAAAATAGAGGTCTGTCCTCAAGAGAGAAAAAGTGCTGGACAGAGACCAGGCTGCTGAAGGAAGCTGAGAGAGAGCAAAGAACCTGGGTCCAGTTTGTAGAAGTAAATCTTTCTTGATATACCTATGAAACAGACAAAGACAAAGCAGGGGCCGGAGAGGTGTTTTGGGGTCTCTCACACTAAACTCAAAAGTCCGTGTTCTTGTTGTTTTCTTTTTTTTGCTTTGGACTTAACACAAAGGGTTTTTTTGGGGGGGAACCATGTCCCACAAGGGAGGAAAACAAATACTCTCTGTTGGTGGAATCACTTGGAGAAACGAGCCAACTCTTCCTCAGCCCACTTTCTGAAGATGAACCACCTCTGTGCACTGATTCTGTTGCCGCTTCTGCCCTGCCCTGCCTCCTAGACCAACTAGAACCCCACTTTCCAGAAGAGGCTGCAAAGTCCTCCCACAGGCTGGGGGAGCTGCCCTTATCCGCTTCTTTTCATTTGGTGAAAG